GTCCTAAGATAACCTTTCGTTAATCATGAAATTACATAACCTTCGTCCAGGGGACGGTACTCCTGCTAGTAATAACATTTTTCAATATACCATGACTGCGTATCAATTTGCATTCACCAACGATATCGTGTCTTTATTATTCTTATTATAATTTAAGTTACCCTTCTCAGCCAACTAGAATCGCCTCAGTACCTTGAACTTAGTCCCAGGTAACCATTCTCTTGAAAGAGCTAACAAATATGTTTTGGTATCTTATCTCTAGCGTACTTCCTTATAATCTCGAACAACGGTTTCTTCTGTATACATTAGAACACAAGGGTAGATACGAAGAGTTCTAGAACGTTCCTTACACGCAAGTCACCAAAATATTGTGGATGCTTGTTGTTAAGCGCAAATCTATACAATAGGCTATCTGTACTTTGCCCATCACATGTATTAAATTCCGATTTTTAGCGTTATAAGCCTTCAGACTTACTGTAGAGCTGCCGGGGGTCTATTATGCAAAATTCCCATCGTATTTTCGTGTGTGCGTTTTCTCGAAAGAGAACCGGTATGTGTAGTATGGCTACTACAACTTTTGAAAAGACATCAAAAATTGATTTTATTGTTTATTTTTATAATTGAAAAATGTAAAATGTGATTTAAGGTGCAGTATGAAAATACAGAATGCAAGTTAAAGAAAATATTTGTAATTATTTAAAAGCATTCATCTTTACCTTTTGGTAGTTTGGCGTTGCAATGGAGATCTGTGTTTAAAGTGTTGATTATCTATAAAAGTTGACATTATAGGTCTATGCTTGAGTTGTTCAGCATTAAACTTTAAAACCTATACACAAGCCTGTAATTAATTTTAAGGGATTCCTACTAAGCAGACTACCCCCCCCCCCCCCAGTGGCACAGCGGAATGTCTGCGGACTTACAAAGCTAGAAACCAGGTTTGATACCCGTGTAGCTTTGTGGTTAACTACAAACAAACCCACTAAGCAAATGTTGCGATCGTTTTACAGAAAGTTTTTTTTGTATATTAAAATATATTCAGTTCTCCTCCATCATAGCCATGTTCTTTCGTGGGCGAGTTCTTTTAAATTATTTGGCGAATATAACTCAAAGTCAGATCCACGTAAAAATAATTTAGTTTATTTTTCACATAAAATCTAGGACTAACGTTCTTCACCGTAGACAGTTGTAAATAACGTTTCCAATGACGTTCAACCCTCTCTAAAAATCGAGGACTAACGTTCTTCACCGTAGACAGTTGTAAGTAACGTTTCCAATGACGTTCAACCCTCTCTTAAAATCTAGGACTAGCGTTCTTCACCGTAGACAGTTGTAAATAACGTTTCCAATGACGTTCAACCCTCTCTTAAAATCTAGGACTAACGTTAGATCAAATCAGTTTACTGGCACAACGTAACTCGGTAAGCACGATCGTTACACACAGATCTAAATAATTGAATAGAGTTGTTTAAACATTTCTTTAACAACAAGTAAAAGCTTGGAATGGTCTATTCTTTCATTGGGGTGTGTCTGTGGGCCAGACTAGTTTCGGAGAATTCCACTCCTCGTCTAAATACTTCATACAATAAAAAAGAATAAACTGGTTTAATCAAGAAAGGACTTGCATCACTGAAGTTCCTCGGAAAGAATTTCTACTGGAAATTAACAAACAAGCAGATACACAACAGTATAAAATTGTACATTTTAAATAAACTGATCTAATTCGGCTATTGTGTTTTCAGAGTTTAGCATTCAAATACCTGTACTCGCCGGCGCCTTCACTGGCCTTGATAATCACCTTAAGTATTGTTACGTCTCCGTTTGTTAATTAACTTTCCGTAACTTCGTTCCGACGAAACTTTAG